ACTCAATATGCATACAAAATTTCGTCAAAATCGGTCCAGCCGTTTCGGAAGAGTTCTCTGTCTAGCACCGGGACACGAGAATTTTATATATAAGATTTATTATTCATATATTAGAATATATAATAAATAAAACAATTATAATCTAAATTATATATTGGGAAGGTAATTACGATGTTATTAAGGAGTTACAATAGTTACTGAAATGCGTTTATAACAAGTCCTAAAGGTCAATAAATCGATAGGGACCGAGTAACCTTTACTATCAAATACTCCAGCCACAATCACTGATCATTTGTAGTCATTAGGGTCTTTACAATCGAATACTTCGGACATTAAAAGTATTTGTATACAGTTTTGTTTTTTCAGTCTAATTATACATATTATTCTTTTTTAATAGCATTTCATAAAACGCCATAATAACTGTCGCCGCTATGGCCATACGATTTTATTTTTACAGTCGCTGATAGTTTTAATGGTGTCGCTTGATCATTACACCGTCAAATTAGTGTCAAATTTTTAGTAATACTTCTCAACAATCGTCTTTGTTTTTTCTGTTATTTGCTTTGCTAAAAGTATAGGATGAAGTTAAAACATTAGTAATATTATTATTAAAATTTATTTTGTATGTATCTTACACAAGACACCAAAAATATAACACGAACTTGGATAAAATAGCATGAGAGTGGTATAACTACGTGTGTCTAAGAATCCCACGATATCTGTCACTTAGTCTTATAATATTTATTAGTATTTTATTACTTTTTGTACCACACACCGATGTTCATTTATATGTAAAAAATACTAATGTTAATTTAGGACCTAATTATTATTTGAGACTAGATTAAATTATTTATAGCGCCATCTGTTTTCTGTTTTGAGAACTTGATGAATTACCTATCTGGGGCCTGTTTATCTTGATTTATATGGGAACGATCGGAGCGTACTCTCTAGATTTAATAGACATAGAACAATGTATGTATTGGGGACTTGGGACATAGATTTATTCTTGTTAATTATTGTAACAACGTGATAGGATTACTGAAGATTATATGTTTAAAACAATATTTATACCGTGTATTTTGTGATATATGTAGATTTTTCGTATAATCCGATATAATGACGCTGTTATTTTTTAGTTAAAAAAACTGTATACAACTAGGAAAATTCTTTATATAGAACTATTCTAGCCGTGTGGAAAAATAACAAGAATGTTGCATCTAGTTTTCGTAATTGGCAACCTAGTTTTAGTTTTTATACAGCTAGATTTAAACCGTGGTTTTGTTCGCGTGTTTGAAATATAATATCTTTATCATTTATTTTAGAATTATTATTCGAAATGTAGATTTTGCTTTTTCAACTGAGCTATAGTTATTTTTAAGACTATAACTTCGATCATTTTAGCGTTATAAACAAACTTATGTACATTTATTTTATTTATAGTATTGTTTTAATATTACAAGGAATAATTCTTACACTGAATCGAAATAGAGTAATAAATTATTAAATAATTTTCACATACATTATTTATCAACCTATAAATCGATGTCTCGTAATTCGTAATCGATTACTTATTATATATTTCTTAGAAATATTATTAAAGCTTTTTTCTATACATTCAGTTTTGTAAAGTTTTAATTGGCGTTGTATATAAGTATCATTAAAATACATAGATTAGCTTGAAACTGATCTTGCGAAACCGTAGTACTAAGATTTATAGTAACAAAGTTCACTGTAAATTGCTTGGACGCAAAAACTAAAACATCTTAAGTGTAATACTACACTTAAAGATATACTATACTATACAATTTTTTTAAGTTTAATATTTAAATCTTTATCATCAGCCCATCAAAGCCACTGCTGAGCAAGGCCTATTCTAACATGGAGAAGGTTTGAGCATTAATCACCACGCTGGCTCAAGACGGATTGGCGATTTCAAACTTATAATTTGAAATTACATATAAGTCCAGGTTTCCTCACGATGTTTTCCTTCATCTGTCAGTGATGTCTAAATACTCTTTAAAAGTACATATGACTCGGAAAAATCGCATTGGTACTATCCAGGTTTTGAACCTGAATATTTAAATAATAACTTTTATTTAAATATGAAATGGAAATTATTGAAAAAAAAAGAGCAAAGTTGATTGGAATACTACTTATATGTAAATAAAAATAGTTTCCACTGTATTTCAATATATGTACATAGTAATATTTTTATTTAATTTTAATGCATTACTACAAAAATTAAATATCTTATCTTGTTCTAAAGGTTCGGCTTTAGTCACGATTGTAATATAATACAACAAATAATATTTATTTGCATTATTGACAGATATAATATCAGTTAAAATAAATGAAGCGTTTACAGTTACTAACAGAATAACTCAAGATATTTCAAGATATAGCATTATTTATTAAGAACCAGATAAGTATAAAATTAAACATAGATATATATTATATTAGCTTTCCGCCCGCAGCTTCGCCCGCGTGGAGTTCGGTTATATCGCGTTTCCAAGAGAACCTTTTAAAAGTCTGGGATAAAAACTATCCTATGTTCTTTCTCAGGGTCAACTGTGTCTCTGTACCAAATTTAAAAAAAAATGGTTTAAGCGTGAAAGCGTAACAGACAGACAGACAGAGTAACTTTCGCCTTTATAATATTAGTAGTGATACAAGGAAACGAAAAACTATGTCATTTTATTTTATAGTTCTATAAGTTCTATGGAAGATTCATTGTTTCTGAAATGATGAACTTATATTTTTTCGTTTTTACATGGGTAATTTGATTTACAGAGTATTATATTGGTACATATATTTAGTCAAAAAATACTTTGTATATATTCAAAGCGTAAGGATTATATAAATTATTATTTAGGAAATCTGTATTTGCTAGACTGGTCTGGTCTGAGACTCAATCTAAGTCTGAGACTTTATCTAACATCTTAAAACTTTTGAATGAACAATGCTATGCACTATGTATGTACTTACTTATTATATTAAAAAAATCTAAGTCTTAAATTAAATGAAAATTAATGTTGTTAATATATGTATAAATTATGTTGTTTTGATCACCTTTAATTATTACATTTAAATGAATTGGTTGTTGAATTAAATGAATAAATTTCATTTAGTTATGATTTTATGTAAATAATTTATTATTATGATTTAATAATCACTTAATACGTATAAAGTGTTGGCGTTTAGATTTGGTAATGTTATTGATTTCTATTGCATTAGATACTAGCTTTGGCGCGCGGTTTCTGTCGTTAATATACATATAACAATTCCCTGGTGATTTATTATTATTGCAAATTATAAAATCAGCTTTATTAACGAATTATTTTAGTATGAGTTAATATTGAAAATTTAACATTGACGGCTTGTATTTAAATGTCTGTAAGTTTAATGAAAATTGTTGAAATCTTCATTATTTATTACGTTTAGTATTCAAAAAAAAAAGATAAAGGATAGTTAATAAGTATTTGAATATACTAGAAATAAAATCCGAACAATTTAGTTTTACAAGAAACTATGACAGCTTTTGAGTACATCTATACAGATATTAGGCTATTAGATGCATTTCATTTTATTTTATTTGGGTGAATACATTAAATAAAATAAGGATAACAAAATTACCATAAGCATTATGAAACATCACAAATGAGCAGCGAGTTCATTAGGGATTATTTAAATAGGATGTATTTGAAAAACAAAAGTAAGAATTCCTTTCTATTTTCACCAAAAACTCTAAAAGTCTTGTCTGTAAATATTCTCATTAAAATCTAGTTTATTAATGGCAAATTGTATTCATAAAGCAATAAAACAGTGCAATACGATCTATAATTATAAGTTAAGTATATTTTTTTCAGCATTTTGAGTGAAACATATTTTATAACTCATTAATATATTATAAAGCATGTCATAAAATGTTTTTGAATCTTACATAGGTAATACTTTCTGTAACAAATATAACAAAATTTGTAATCATATCTTCTGCAGTAATTAATAAACAACAGCAAAACAATAAGTTTGCATATAAAAAGTAAATTCTATATTTACACAATCGAAAATTGCATTATTCATATGCAATTTAAGATAATTTAATTTAGTTAGAATTGCAAATTATTAATCAAAGGCGGCGTAAACCCGGATTCTTGGTGATGTTTCTTTAATGACAACTTAAAAGTCGTATATTTTTTTATCTCGTGATGAATGTACTCGTAATATGACAATTTGTAGTCGACAAATGTGATTTCATTGAAAATCATTTATGTATTTGCAACAAAAAATAACTATTTTAAGGTTTCCTTTATAATATATATTAAAAAGGTTTTAATAAACACAGTGTTAGTATTTTGTAGTACAATCGATGTATACAATGTAGATAATTATATATTTTTTATTTGAAAATAAATCAATATTTAACCTCTGTTGTTTGTGCAGCCGGTTTATTAAAACAACGTAAAATGAATACCGCAATGCGCTTTTTTAGAAACGAATTGCAAATGACAAAGTTGTTCATCACGTAACCTTTTTCATTTCTTTGAATATTATTTCATATTTACTTTAGCATAATATATAGTTATTATACGGTTTTGTATAACACAATTTAGAATATTGTGTAAGATAAATTAATAGTAGTTGCAGACAAAAATAATGGCATTTGTTTAAATGGAAGAAAAGTTTAAGTATATTTATGAGAATAAAAAACGTTTTTGTTTTCTCTAAACAAAAAACTCGTAAATAATGAGACACATAGATGTATCAAAAGATATCAAAAGAAAGGTGTCTTGAATGTATCTATGTTATTGTGTTGATAAAATCGATCACTGAAATATTTCGTGAAAACTTCGATCTAGTAATCAATCATGATACATAATTAATACACCATTGGAATCACCCCACAATAATTTGTCCGCTTGCCGTGAATAGCCGTCCTTATCAGTCCATCATGGCTATGGGGGTTGGAATAATCAATATTTTTCCACCCTACCCAACAACGCATGCGTGATTCTGATGGTGATGGTATGACTGAGGAATGGTGGGCCCCATGTTGTAATACCACAAACCATTCTGGTGCAAGCGCTCAAGGTGGCACCACGAAAACCAAACGGCTGAGCAACCACAATGTGAGTATTTGCTCTTATAGAACATAGGCATTTTAATCCCCAATATATTTTTTGGACAATCAACTTTAACTTGTATAATATATCTATTTTCTGGTGGTACTTTTTTTGGTCAGTCAAACCCCATATATTACAAAGGAAACAGATAAAATATTTCCATATTCTTTGAAATATTGATGATATTTTATTGATTATTTGACGGTATTTTAATGGTCCAAATATTTCCAGGCATCGCCAAACGAAACGAGGATCGGTAAGCCGAGTTCCAAGATTTTGAAAACGCTTTTTTTATTTTTTTTTAACACTGATGTAAATACATAAACTAAATAATATTAAGGTAAAGTATACTGTACTAATGACTTTGTACACACGTTGAATAAATATGCTTTTACTGACACGCTACTTGTTTAATGCCCCACCTTTTAAGACGCAAGTTTTACCGCAGCGACGTCTTTTTTTTATTTTGGATTTGTATTGCACATTTTTACATTATAATCATTAGTATAAGAATATCGTTAGGTGCATTTCGTTTAAATAGAACAAAGTAATCGGAATTCTTCTCCTTTTTCTTGCTGAGTGAAGTTTGGTAATTGCTATTTTTACCCTACTCTTTTCGACTAACGGATTCTTTTATTTAGGTACGTATAGAAAACTATTAAGGATATTTAAGTCGACCCTTTTATAGACGTTTTGTGTGTTTATTTAGTGACGGTCGCCAACACTTGCAATTTAATTAGTCCTGCCCCACCTTCAATGTGTACCCTTTGGGGATAATAAATTATATTGGGGACTTTATTAATTAGCAGAAATTTTACAAATAAATATTAAAATTTCAAAGTTATATTAATACGAGAATTGTCACAGAGACTTTACCTTAAAGAATTCCGTAGTCCATAGTCCAATACTAACAAGTAATATAAAATTTGTAAGTTTACCATCTTATTAAAGCCTACTCGCTATATTTAATAGGAAAATATGAGTTTTGATATCAAATAAGAAGAACCAACAGTTTCATTGAAGAATTCTTTGTTGAATGAAAGTGAAGAATTTCGTAGAATTTAATAGAGAACTTACATTCTTGAATCTTTTTGTATTTTCGGTTAGCGAGTCCTCGTTAACACCGTTTAAGATATGTCGCTAAGGTTATTTGTCATTGATAAAACTCGGAAATTCTTCTAAAAAGTCTTCTGGAAAGAATTCTACTAAACTAGACTTGTTACAACTTAGCTCGCATACAATTTTTGCAGCGCAAATTCCTCAGTAATCTATTACCATATAATTTTGGAAGACATCTTACTATATCGAAGAATTCCCATATCTAAATTATACGATTAATTAAAGTTTTATTATTAAATGGCACTAGTGGAGTAATTGGGCTGTATTGCCCCATCCATTACACGAATTTGCCAGAACTGCTTCTCTAATTTGGTGATCGGAACAGCTGTTTTTGACTCTGGATTAGGCAGTAATTTATGATGACTGTGACACCGTTATTAGCTTTTCCTTTTATGGCACCACACCATATCAGATGCAATGTTAACTTGGTACCGGCAGACATTCTATTTACAGTGAACATACATAAAACATTATTTTAAATTAAATTTTAATTGAAAATGATAACTTACTTTTTTATGGAACAAGATTTATTATTAACTTCGGCCTAAAAAAAATAAGGTAATGTGTGAGTTTCACCACGTTATATCAATGCAGATTGACGGATTAGAAAATAACGGAATAACTCAGAAACTTCGAAAAAAAATGGATTTTCGTAAATTTTCGTCGTTAACTTTGTTGTTGAAAGGATATGTAATTAAATTAATGTAAGAAAAATGGTTTTGAGCAAGCAACAGATGCTTAAAATATTATATTATACAAAATTTTTACAACTGTATGCCTTTAGTGTTGTATCTAACAAAATTCAGTGACAAAATCTATTAACAACACTTAAAGTCTTTTCAGTTCAATAGATTAAATATAAATAAATTTTAAATCAGAAAAACTTAACCATTTTGACTTAAATTTATTATTTAATAACTGAACAAATTATTACAAATTTAATGAAACTTAAAACAACCTAATCAATTGAAAGTCATAATACCCCTTACATTACATTACAAAGGCTGTTTAATTTATAAGCAATTGCCCCAATTAATAGTAATATCTCGCTTAAATTTTTAATCTATGCAAATTACAGGCTAAAATGAAATCTGTTTTATTAATTGCGCCCGCGCATACAATAATAAATCAATGTCTATATTATTTGTCAAGAGTGTTGACCGTTTAGCAACTGTTTTTTATGACTTACAATTGTAGTATATAAAAATTAATGACAGATTTACATATTAATGTATAAAAAAAGGTTTTCGTATGACCTTTTTTGACCCTTTTATAAATTAAGTCATTTTAAATTCAAGTCTAAATCACTTTTCCATTTTCAATACGCGTTCTTAATATTGTAGAGTCTAATTTTTTGTATTAATTATATTGTTTTTTTTTTCACTAAAGATGACATTAATTCATTTTCATTCATTCATTCATTTCTTATCATATCATCTCCAATTATTAATTACCCTTGATATATTATGAAACGTTTACAAAACATGTTCACTGACAAATGACATAATAGATATAGATCGTGTTTAAAAAATTGTCCGTGACACAAATAAAAATCGATACATTATTCAATAATATCGATTATTTTGTTATTTATATAATATATAATATGGTACATAGAGTAATAAAAAACTTAATAGATATTAAAGTAAGGTATAAATATAATAACAATGTGTTTTACAATCGTGTCGAAAATTAGCGGTATTTACATTTTAATACAATTGGATAAAGATGATGAAGATGGGCATTGTGTCAAACCGAAATCATCAAAATAAGTATAAATAATGATTTCTTAACCACTGACTAGTGTGTGTATTGAGTGGCAATGGAAAAAAACACTAATAATTTAAAGTAGACATTATTTTTTGTCTCCTGTAAAGTTGTTAAAAATGACTTAAGCGATATAAGCGGACGATATATACATATATGTAGTATAAATTTCAGTATACTTTTTTCTTGAAATGAGTTAGAAAGAAGTTAATTATTTATGAATCAAAATTATGTGCTTTATATAGAGTAAAATTTAATAAAACTGCAACAAATAAGTCATCTTGATTCAAGATTGTATTCTAGCCTATCCCAGTTGCACACCATAGAAAATAAAATCTAGAATTGCGCAAGACCTAAATGTATGTATAGTTAGCGTGTTTCCATTCAGACCGATTACGCTATCGTAATCAGTGCTAATTAGCTTAAATGCTATAAAAAATTACTAGCAAGCACTCGTTGGGAATGCTGAAGTACCGTCAACAGAAAAAACGAAAAAAATATATTAAAAATAACTCGAAAACTTTGTTACATGAAATATACTATTGAGTTAATATTGGAAATAAATTTATGTTATTTTATAATTTAAATATTATTTTTGTTGCTAACAGTACATATCGTTTGATCTAGAATGCAGCTAGTCCAAGCTAACGCGACGACACTTAGCTGTTATTCATTTAAATTTATTGCATTCAATATTTTAGTTCAAATGAATTTAGTTCATCTCATACATTTCTCATTTATTATGAATTACATTAAACTTTAATAAGTTAATCATGATATGTTTGTATAAATATGTAATTATTATTTTACATAACAATTTCATACAACAATATTTAAGTCATTTTACATATATATTATATATTATTACGAATAAAATATAGCTTTTTTAAATGTACTATATATATGTATTTTGTCTACAGGTCAACCCAGGGGGTGTGATCAAAAATGTTTCTATGACTGCGCACGCGCAATCAGAAGAGGTAAGTGTATATAAGTTTTTAAAACTAAAATAGAAAAGGAACTTTTAATATTTTGAATGTAAATAACAGTTTCAAGTACATAGTAGTTTGATTTAAATAAATTACGGAATGTAAATATTTTCGTGTACCAATTTTAATCATTCTATTTGCATTAAATACTCTCATCTATGTAGGTGATTTCTTAGTCCTTATAAAAAGGCATTTGGAATAAAATCCTCACCACATAGATGACATTGGAAAATTATATATTTTGTTTTTTCTGTGAATTTCGTATCGAGCTACCAACATTAGAAAATAAAAAAAATACACAAAATACATCAAATCTATATTTGATATTTACTTGTATCGTTAAAATAAAAACTAATTTTGTTTGAAGTCAAATTAGTCTAATAAAAAAATCATTCCTATTTGTTTGTTCCAAATCGGAAGACTATAGGAACTAGTTCGAATAAAAGTAAAAACAAGTTAATATTTTTTTCGTCACTGTGCTTTATGGTTTAAAAACTGTTGCTTTAAGAGATATATTTTCCGTGTACTCTCTCAGTAATACCTCACAGACATGGTTTATTCGATGTAATTAGTTCAAGTTAAGATATTAAGCGGTGGGTAAATTTAGTAAATCATTCCCGAAACGAACGAAACGCAATTAGCGCATAATCATACAATTAATATAACGACATAATCACGTATAAATTGCGTTTTTATTCGACATAAATTTCATTAATTTTATGTACTGACAACTTGGTTTATATAAGCTACTGTATATCTTATATATAAAATTCTCGTGTCGCGGTGTTAGATAGAGAACTCCGAGACGGCTGGACTGATTTTGATGAAATTTTGTGAGCATATTGAGTAGGTCTGATAATCTGCCAACATTTATTTTTCAAACAACTAAGGGTAAGGGTTTTTCACCCTTAATTATTTTTTTTTGGACGAAATTCATTGTTTTATACAATGTAGCATTAAAAAATACCCAAAATTTTTACTTTTTTATCGCCAACCCATATTTTTATATGGCAAAACAACGTTTGCCGGGTCAGCTAGTATTATATATATTTATGGCAACACTTAATAAAATATAAGTCCTTAGCTGATTCTTATCTAGACTAGATCTAGTATAAACATTTATATATAAATTAACATTAAAACAACTGGTGTTACTTTATGCAGACACTTCGTATAACAGCTATTTGAAAACAAAACAACATAACTGTTAAGAAAATTAACTAACATAAGATCGAAAATATAATTTAAATATAAACAATATAATAATGGAATAAAAATAATAAAATTGACAACTGTATGACATAATAAAATGTGTTGCAAGAAATCAAATTATATCCGAGTTAGAGATTATTAATTTTTTTTTAAATATACTAATAATATTTATTATCAGTATATTTAGGAAAATAAATTCTTTTTTTAATATGATCTTAACTATACTATAAATATTTCTGTCAACATTCTTACTTTTTGTCTTCAAAGACATTTGAGGCAGGCGTCGATTTTAAATTCCCTGAAAAGGCTACAACTACCAGTCACAATAGCAGCCTTGAAATGACATTCACTGAAACTAAAGGTTAATTGTTGACTAATTAAGATTAACGACAATTATAAACATTTCTGATAATTAAATATCTTTTGAATAAAATATTTCGATTATTGATCTGTGTACAATGATAAAAGTATTGAGAACATGGTCATTGTAAAATTAAACACCAAAGTTGTTTTTAATGTAAATTAATTTGTTGTGTTATTATTTAGATGACATTAAAAATATTATTTACTTATAAATTATATATATTTATGGGAACTGATTAATATTATACAAACACATATTGTCAGTCGTGGCCTAGTGGTTAAAAGCACGACAGGCGTGCACGAAGGCGCGGGTTCGATCCTGGCAAGTACCCATGTGATCGTTCCGAGTCATATGTACTTTTTGAGAGTATTTAGACACCACTGACAGACAGTGAAGGAAAATATCGTGAGGAAAGCTGGGGTTATAATTTCACAATAATAAGTTTGAAATCACCAACCCGTCTTGAGCAAGCGTGGTTATTAATGCTCAAACCTTCTCCATGAGAGAAAGAGGCGTTTGCTCAGCAGTGGGCTCTGTTAGGCTGATAACGAAAATCATATCGATTTGACGTAATATTTAAACGTTTTATTTCTTAGGTTTATTCTTCTTGATATTGATATAAAATCTATGTTTTCAATATTTGTATAACTGGCAATATTACATTCATTGGCAGAAATCAGTTATAAAAACTTGTTAATAAGAACTAATATTTGTTTGAGTGCGTAAAAGGTTTTCATTTAATATAATCTATGGTGCATGCAAAAATAATAATTATTAATAACCTTCCTTTAAGATATTCCACTGATTAATTTGGCGATAAATCTTAGATAACTTATTAATCTGATCCAAAAAAAGTTTTTTACGATTTTCTGATGCGATTGTCTCTAATGCATTTTAATTTATTGCCTATGAAGTTAGAAAGACGGACTTAGATGTTGCATTTTATTCCTAAGAGCAAAACGTAGTAAATATAAACGTGGTAACGTGAAATATAATAAAAAAGGAACTAGTATAGATCTCATTTTAAACCAGTAAAACTCTTTCAATAACTTGTATAATATTAAATATTACATTAGAGTAGGTAAAAGTAAGGTAAATAGAGATCCCTTTTTTTAACAGTTAGGGGTGACAAAGGTCAAGTATTTAATTAAGCCGGGACAACAGAAACATAGACAACAAAACAATGAAAAATTGTGACGTAATTATATATAATTATTGTAAATTAATTTAATTAAACAGATGTTTTCTTACAATTACATTAAGGCCTCATAGCTTGAGGTACAAATTACAGTTTATAAATTAAATGAGGTCGTCAGTATTCTACACACACACAGACACACGTACTCTCACACACACACATCGATCTATTGAAGTACATATAAGCAACACTTCTATAATTTAATAAAATATATACTATATTCTTCACAGATATTTATTCTATATATTTAATTAATCCACATCATAAATTTATTTCGTATCATCACTGAAATATACTTACAAAACTATGCATTCCCTTCTAAGTCATTCTATAGTATAGTTATATGAAGCAAGGAATATATTGACAGTGTTTCAGAAACACTATTAACATAGAATATGGTGGTGCTGACCTAAAAACCCTTCAAAGGTGACGCCCTAAGCCCGACGCACCCTTCCATTAGGAGGGGTTCTGTGGGGGAATAATTGTTCATGTTTTTAAACACGCAATCGGTGGCTTAGCAGTTCTTTTATAGCCTCTCATGATTAATCGACTGTGATTTAAGCTATTTTTCTTCTTTATACTGAATTTCTATGGAGTTTTTTATATAGAAAAGTAGTATAATAATGATAATTAAGTCTAGTTGTGGTAGATACTTTGTATTTTGATTTCAGATTATGCTCTTAGTAAGCAGTATTAGTTACAAAGTCGAAAATATGAATTTATCGTAAATACTAATAAGTATTTTTAAATAATATTTTTTCTTTTTATAATCGTATTACAATTATAAATTTAAAGGAAAATTGATTCCTACACGTTGAAACAAAGAAATAAAAATTCCAAATTCATTCTATAACTAATAATTAAACGTCACTTTATAACTTTATACGATTGACGTAATATTTCACAAAATATATTTATGTCATTAAAATTATATATAACATATAATACACTGCTTTAAAATCAAAAATGTCATGTTGATTATTAATCTTTTTTTTATGTCATAACGATTTGGTCTAAAGCTACTCATTATGGTTGCGTGTCAACTGATCATTTGACAATGACATTGACATGTTTTTTTCTTTATTGACATTATATTTTTTTAAAACAATTCAAATCCAATCAGCTTGGAAAATAATATATTTCTATATGTAATACTTTGTAGATATTAGGTTTAGATAAATATGAAGCATAATTATAGTTACAAATGTAGAGTAAATGTTAGTTTGCGCTGGTACATTAATTATGCCGGTCCTACGGATAGCCTAGCCGCATTTGGAAATGGCTAGCCTAATTTGGAACTGACTACTGTTCTAAATAAACACCTAAATAAATTACTTAAATCATTCTTACCAAATAATTGCTTTGACAGATTGTTTAACTCTATATAAAATATAATGGCAGTTGCAGAGAAAATTTAAATCATTAATAGTGTTTTTTTGTTGTGATATTTTAAAAACTATACAAATAAATGAAAAATCCATTAAAGAATCATTAATGTTGTATCAGTACATTAATCTAAATGTACCATAGACAATTATTTCAATTACTTTACTAGGTAAACTGTATTGCTCGATGGAAAAACAAACTAAACAACAAAGCCCCTACGTCCTGACCAAGTTGACATCAATACATTAGTGTTGTTAAAACGGTTACCATGGCAACGCTATAACAACTCAGCGAGGACAACCCGAAAATAAACCTTATTTGTATAAAAATACAGTTCATTTCAAAGGTGAAAGCCTGTAAAAGGATTGATGTTTTAAGTGCACGTAAAATCCGGGCCATTAGAAAAACAAGATAGTAATACTTTTAACACATTAGTTACAGTATCTCTTACTTCATAGAAGTAAATAGAGCATTCTAGTTTGTTTTAAATTACCCATTGTTTATATTATATTGTTTTACGAAGAAATAACTCGCTTTTTCTTTACAAAGTTATACGAGGCATTATTTTCATTAAGTCTTCTTATGTGAAAGAAAATATATGACTAAATAAATTTTGCTTATAAAGCCTTGCTTTATATACTTTAATAATTTTACAATTGAATGAAGATATTACATTAATTTTAGCTTATATAAGGGTCGACTTAAAATATTATTAAATATATATATACAGGCTTTTGGGATGAATTTATAATGCAGCATTATCTCACAATGGTAGATAATACATAACTATTACAGATTTTACAAATTTTTCTCAAATTTAATCGTAGATTT